AAAAAAAAAAAAAAACAACAAAAAATAAATAAATAAAAATGGGCAGAGGATCTGAATAAACATTTTTCCACAGAAGACATAACAGAGGCCTAACAGATGCATGAACAAATGTTCAATATCACTAATCAAGGAAATAAAAATTAAAACCATAATGAGACATTACCTCACACCAGTTAGAATAGCTAGTATCAAAATGATAAGAAATAACAAGAGTTAAGGAGGATGTAGAGAAAAGGGAGCACTCCTGTGTGGAAATGTAAACTGGTGTAACCACTTTGGAAGACACTATAGAGGTTCCTCAAAAAACTAAAAATAGAAACACCATACAACCTAATAATTCTACTGCTGAGTATTTACTCAAAGAAAACAAAACTACTAAATTCAAAAGATAATAGCACCTCTATGTTTATTGCATTATTATTTACAATAGCCAAGATACAGAAGTAACCCAAGAGTCTACTGACAGATTTTTTTAAATGTTGTATTTATTTCTGAGAGAGAGAGAGACAGCATGAGCAGGGGAGGGTCAGAGAGAGAGGGAGACACAGAATCCGAAACAGGCTCCAGGCTCTGAGCTAGCTGTCAGCACAGAGCCCGATGCGGGGCTCGAACCCACTAACTGTGAGATCATTACCTGAGCCAAAGTCGGTCACTTAACCAACTGAGCCACCCAGGCGCCCCATGTCTACTGACAGATTAATAGATAAAGGTATATATACATTGGAATAATACTTGGCCATAAAAATGGTGAAATCTTGCCATTTGTAACACATGGATGGAACTAGAGGGTATTAATGCTAAGTGAAATAAGTGAGACAGAGAAAGACAAATACTCTATGATATCATTTATGTGTAGAATCTAAAAGTAAAATGAACAAACAAAAAACAAGCAGACTTTTAAATACAGAGAACAAACTAGTGGTTGCCAGTGAAGAGGTGGGTGGGAGGATGGGTGAAATAGCTGAAAAGGACTAAGAGGCAAAAACTTAAATTTATAAAATAAATAGGTGACAGAGATGAAACATAGGGACATAGCATAGGGAACAGGTTCAATAATATTGTAATAATGTTGTATTGTGACAGATGAGAACTATACTTACCATAGTAAGCATGGAGTAATGTGTAGAAATATTAAATCACTGTGATGCATACCTGAAAACTAACATAACATTGTATGTCACCTCTTCCTCCCCAAAAACATAATAAGATTATTAGCTGATGGGGCAGAATGCATGCTTTGTTTCTATTCAGTCATATATGCCTTTTAGCAAATCATTTAATCTACCTAGCTAATAGTTTCTACTACTGTAAATTGAAAAGACAATAGAGTCTCAAGATCCCTGTTAGATAAAAAATTACACCTGATAAAATTGATTAAAAAGTTCCATCTAAGAAAAGGGGGCTATCTGAAGGAATAAGAGACCTTGGAAATTCTGAACTGGAACTCACTGCCTTTAGAAACAATAATATATAAGAAAATCCAGTTTTTCTATGGTAGTGAAATAGGAAACCTACATGCATTCTATGAATGTTCAGGTCATAATCTAGTGAACTCCTAAGATGTTTTACAAACATGAATGTCCTAATACAAGATCTTCTTAAAGAAGATGCATCTATAGTACACTGCAGAATGACAGACAGGTTTCAAAAAAAAAAAAAAAGATATCATATCATTAAATCATATCCTCATATTTTTCTTAGAAGAAAATAACCTGGTATCAAACTGATCTCAGGCACTCTAATCAACCCTCTAATGTTGCAAACAAAAACTTCAGTGTACTTATTCACATTTTTATTGGGAGAATTAATCACATTGATAGATTTGCAAAGAGTTTGGGACCTGAAACTTGAAATAGACTATTCTAGATTAGTAATTCATCTTCCTATCTTTAGTCTGTGATTAAACTTTTCCATGGTCATACTGTTGCTATTTTTCCAAATGGACCTCTTCATTATTGGACAGTTAGAATTTGCAAAAAACCCTGGATTATATCAAGTCAAAATTTACCTCTAAAATTCTCATCTATTTTCTTGATTTCAGTCTTTGAAGCATGTGAGAAGAGAACATTCATGAAAATAGCCCTTTACTTATTTGTAGATGGTTATCTTTACTTCAAGACATTTTCCTTTTTCAGGCTGATAACTTTTAAGCAACATGGCATATCTCATCCAACATTTTCTCTAAAGGAAGATGTTTTCACTTAGGAAGTGAAAAGGAAGGAAGGAAGCTCTTCCTAAGGAAGAACTTAGGAAGGCAATATTTTATATTCTTAAAAAGTTTTACAGTGAAAGCTCACTAATTCTTGACAGAGGGACAAACTGCTCTAAATTTACTTGTGAATTTCAAAAAGAATTCAGAGACAACAACTGCATCACATTGATGTATGTGACCTAATGAATTCTGCAGAATTCTCACATACTTATTTACTTCAGTAAATTTTTGGAAACTGTAACTCATAAATTCTTTAAAAATTATTTTTTAAACCAAGGCTTATTTGTCAAAACATTATTCATGGATGGATTTCAACCCATCTTCATATTTTAGTCATAAATCATTTGTATTCATTTTTATGAATTCATAAAGGATAAAGGCAGTAATATCATTTTAAGTGGTACTGAAACATTATTTACATTAATTCTTTTGAGGAAAAAGTATGTAGCGTAGTGAAGTATAACATCACACAAGGGAGAACACATGCCAAAATGGTAGACCAAGCTCTATAAAACTCAGCATGAAAATTCAATAATTATACAAAAGTATTACTTACGGATACAATTCTGAAAGCTGTTCAGCTATTGCATAAGCTGTTGGGTCTCGGTCTAAGGCATACAGGATAATATCTGACTCCTTCTGTAGAATGGCTTTTGTGTGTCCTCCTGCACCAAATGTCATATCTAGAAAAATCTAGCCAACACGAAAAAAGAAAATTACCACTAAGCATGAACAAAACATTCTTGCTAACTACCTTAATTTCTAGAAGCACATACTGATTTCCAGAGCTGATAGCAATTGGAAAAACAAGTAAAATCATTTTGCCTGAGTTGAATTTGTTATACATGAGATCTAGATCAATTATGAGTGACCAGTCCAAAAGAGCTGGACAGATATCAGTAAAATAATAATCTCTGGTACAGGCTGGCCAAATCAAGACAAATTTACATTTTCCTCCAAAGGTCAAACTGGCCACAGTGTTGTGCTGCTAGCTTTTTAATGCTATCCAGCAGCTTGGTGCTAATGGTGTTTCCAAAAATTTCTCATCACAAGGAGATAGCTTACAATTAGTATGGCTCACTTTATCTCATGTTCTCTAAATACTTTATATTACACATAAATATATTCAAGAATACAAAGAAAGAATGAGAGAGAGTGAGACAGCAAGAGTGAGCAAGGGAGAGACAGAAAGAGAATTAATATATCTAACAATAAATAGTCACAGGACAAATCTTTAAAAATCTAAATTGGAAAAGACTCAAGGCTAAAGTCAAAACAACTATGGTAAATTTTAGTTTTGCCACGAAGGAGCCATACATCTTTAAATTCCAGTGTCTTTAGATTTCTCCAGGCTTTGAATAGAAAAAGAGAGTCTAGAAGAAGATATCATCAATACCTACCTAATTGGTAAAATGACATATAATTGCTTATCTATACCAAGACCCTTTTGGGAGTAAAATATTTGCCAGTAATAATTTTGCCAAGACAACAGGTTACAATGTGCAGGGGTGACTATCTTCAATGCTTAGATCATTCCAGAAAAACAGTAAAGTAAACTGGATTTGAACCTACTTTTGGCTATATTTTTGGGCCATACTATAAAATATTTTATTGGGAAAAAAAAAAAAAAACCCAGACCTGGAGCATTAAAAACATATTTGTGAATAAGTTAATTGATTGGGCTGATTTGGAAGTGAAGACTCTCTCAGTGTTATGCTCTTAGCTTAATGTACTCCTTCAGTAACTTCACGGTTTTATGAAAATAAAAATAATCATTCCAGTAATATCAAATACTGTGAAAAATATACATGCTATAAGCCAAGCCATTAAAATATGCAAACATATAACTTTAAAGTTCATGAATACACTGCACAAGGGAAATCCCTGTAATGAATGTGAACATTTCCCTTCCCTGAATGCTACAACTTACTTCTAGGAGAGTGGGCAGAAACAAGACACAAGTATGCTTTGATTTTTTGCTACCAGCAATCATGCTGAGTTCCATCCTCTGTCAAGTCCTCAGAAAAGTTAGCCTGCTATTTGAAGAATAATATGGAGAAAATATTCTGATAAAAATTGAAAAGAGGAGGGGCGCCTGGGTGGCTTAGTCGGTTAAGCGTCCGACTTTCGCTTTGGTCATGATCTCGCGGTTTGTGGGTTCGAGCCCCGCGTCGGGCTCTGTGCTGTCAGCTCAGAGCCTGGAGCCTGTTTCAGAGTCTGTCACTCCCTCTCTCTCTGACCCTCCCCTGCTCACGCTGTCTCTCTCTCTCCTAGAAATAAATAAAACATTTAACAAAATTAAAAAAAAATTGAAAAGAGGAGGGATATAAGTTATAAGAAGGATGTAAATGTGGTAAAAATGCTCAAGCACTGCTTTTTAATAAAAGTATGTTAATACAACTTAGCCTTGCATTTTTATCACTGTCAGCACAAAAAACATGGCTATACACTCTTTTCAACATTAGAAACAGTAATGTGAAAACAATACTGAAAGTCTAATTATTTGTATGGTTGTTAGGAGTACATACTTATAAACTCAAGATCGAATCACTTCTTTTCCCAGTCTGTATACTTATTTTATGCATCTATGAATAGTTAAAAATATGCTCTCTTACTGTATTTCAGTTTTAAAATTGCTAGGGGTTTTGGGGTCCCTAGGTGACTCAGTCAACCAGGGTCCAACTATTGATCTCAGCGCAGGTTATGATCTCACAGTTTGTGAGTTTGAGCCCCACATTAGGTTCTATGCTGATAGCATGAGGCCTACTTGGGATTCTGTCTCTCCTTCTCTCTGCCCCTCCCCTGCTTGTGCTCTATTTTCTCTCAAAATAAATATATTTTTAAAAGATATTAAAAATAAAATTACTAGGTGTTTGGCATAATTTAAACAAAAAAACTTCTCCAAGGCAAAAGTATAAATTACCTTCTTGTTATGCCCCAATATCAAGTCTTAACATCAAGTCTATAGTCCTGCACTTTAACTATGATTACCTTATCCCAAGCCAGGAAAAGTCCCAATCAATAATTATACAGAAAAATCCTCATCATTAAAAATATTCTGGAAAATGTGAGATGATTATAATTTACATGATTATTTTTTAATATATCATGATTATGCCCTTGGAGATGTACTGACAATCAAGGAAGTTTCTATAGGAAAAAAAAATTATTACCAGCCAAGTGTAATACAAAGCAGAGTGGGAGACATGAAATTTATAGAACCTCAGGTGAACCCCACCATAAGTCTTGGGTTAATACCTAACTGAAGCCATCGACTTTCTTTTTTTATAATTCGAATATACATTGCTCATCAAATGTAAATCATGACGTTCAGGCTTTGTGAGTCAACCAGCACTACAACTGAAAAGGGAGCCGATTAGTCTTTCCCTTCTCCTGGGTCATTAACTTGATATAAGACCACATTTTTTAATTTGTACAAGTTGACGATAAAAGATGAAAACTGGACAAGAACAATGCACAAGAACGAATATATTTGCATGTTTAAAAACAATCTTTCTATGGGTCTCATCTGTGTGTATGTTCATATGTATATGCCATGTTACAATGGACATGGAACTCTTTCTTTGAGATTACCTAATATAATTTATCTAAAACATGAAACTTATATTGGATACCAAGAGTTTATTCTGATAATGTCATTTACTTACCTGAATATCCCTAGCCAAATTTTAACACTCTGAGCCCCAACTGTTTCATCTAAGAAAAGGAGATAAAATGTATCCCTGTTTATCTTACAGAGATTTATAAAATTATGTGATTTCTTCCTATGACCACAAAGTAGGTGTTACTAGATTTGTGCCTACACACAAACTAAGATTATACTAGGCTAGTCAGTGGCAAATGCAAGAACTGAATACAGGTATACCTGACTCTACAACCTCTGTTTTTTTCTCACACCATTCTGCTTCTGCATTAAATCAATGGAGTCTGTATTTGTCCAATACTTTATGGTTTACCGGGCCTTGATTTTGTAAATTAAGGTTTACCAAACCTTCCCTCTTGGTCTAACAAAAGCTCTGTGAGTATGGACAAGTGGCATTACTTCCATTTTGCAAATAGAAAACTCAAGGTGCAGAGAGATGCTGTGACTTCATTGAGATCATATTACTAGCAAGTGAGGGAAAGAAAACTCTAAACCATGGGTCACCAACTATAAATTCTGTCCCTTTTCTGAAAGAAATAAAGAAAAGGAGAAGAAGGAGGAGGAGTAAGGAAACAAATTTTAAATAGTGGATGGCATAGATAGAATTATGGCAGAGATAGCTTTACAAAAATTATACAAGAAAACTTTAGCTTTTTTATAGATCATTCATTCCCAGTGAAATTTAGGCTCTTGGAAACTATGTCTTAATCTCTGTGTAGCAGGATAACTCTTGAGATATGTGTGTGTCTCTCTCTTTTTTTCTTTGTCCTTCCTCCTTCTCCTCTTTCAAATGGGTACCTAAGTATTCATAACTTTACATAGTATGTTCCTTGAGGATGCTTGCATGGCACAAAGAAAAAAGTATCTTTCTTATAGTCTGAAAACAACTACTTTCCTGTTAGTAGTTTAAATTAAAAAAGAAAAAAGCTCAGAAAGCATGCTGAAATTGGGTAGAAGAGCGATGGAAATGAATGGACAAATTCCAAGAAGGTGCAGGACCAATGAATGACTGACAGGGGATAAGATCTCAAAGCAGCTGTCTGTTTGAGGGACTGAGGGAGCATGGACCCTCAACATAGGGTTCTCAGTACTACTAGAGATTTCCATACCACTCTATGGTACAGAAGAAGAACCTGTGGTCCTCAAGGGCCTACACATATTATAACAAAAGGTATTTCAGGGGAAACAAGGATGGTATAAGGTGACCAATAAGATGCTCTGCACAGCTCTGGATAGTGTGTGGAGTCAAGGGAATGAATGAGATTGATGGCTTCTCAGCACAGGGAGATTGAGGCTCAGAATCAAAATGAAAGTGACCTAAAGAAAAATAAACAAGCATTTGAGGGAAGAGTCATGACTACAATTCTCCAACTAAATTTTTTTAAGTTTATTTATTTATTTTGAGAGAAAGGGGGGTGGGTAGAGAGATTGGGGGAGAGAGAGAGAATGCCAAGCAGGCTCTGCACTGTCAGTGCAGATGCAGAGCTCAATCCCATGAACCAAGAGATCATGAACTGAGCTGAAATCAAGAATAGGATGAGAACTGACTGAGCCACCCAGGTGCCCTTGCCTCAAAGTTAATAGAGTACATCAGCCCACAGAGGTAGATGTACAGTAAATATTTGGTGATGCAATTTGTAAAAAGATCTCAGCCTCCTGAGGTAACTATGATAAAGATAGCAATACTCATTTGTGTATATTAATTCAGAAATATTCAAGATACAAGATTTGTTACCATAGGACTACATAAAATAGTCACGGGATATCCAACTTTTAGGATTTATTTAACATTAATATATTCCTATTATTATAAATTGATTCATTAATGAAAAAACTCTTTTAGAGCATTAATACTAATGATATTAATAGCATTATATAATTCTAATGCACCATGTTCTTATTTTTGACTAGTCTTTCTTTACATTTGAAATAAGAAAATGAATATTTCTTATTTTAGGTTCCCTCTTTTAATCAAATACAATAAATGACATTTTATCCCCACTGTCTTCTAAATACAGAAATGATTAGG